CCCAAACTAGTGTAAATTAATTTAATGTAAACCAGATAAATTGTGTTGACCCAACTAAGCAATTTTAATTTGAATGAAATAAATTAAATTGTAAAAAAATATATCTACTAAAATTAAATAAGCGTAATTATTTTTTTGACTGCAGTGTTTTGTGTATTTGTGACTCTACACTCAAAGATTATTTTTGCCTCTTGTTCATTTGAATTAAAATGAGGTAAAGTAACATGTTTTTGAGCATTCTGTAACAATTCCATTGTGTTCACTCTTCCTAATATATATAAAATTGAAATGTATTTAATTTATTTGTGTTGAAACTACATTAATACTCTGGAGTGAAAAACCTCAGTGATCTACTGATGAACACACAATGCAAGCTGGAGAAACTAGAGTTAGTATCATTATACTCTACAGCAGTTACAGTGAGATTAGGTTACTGTTTCGTTTATTTTAAGTGTTTTGTGTGTATTTGTGACTCTACACTCAAAAATTAATCTCTATTCATATCATTATGGCGAGCACTAGTAAAGCGTTTAAAGGATGTGTGCATCCGTGTTGACGTTGTTTAACATCTGATGACACACACGATCTATGCGTTATTTGTTTGGGCAAAGAGCACGCATGCGATGCCTCCGAGGGAACAATCGGCATGCACTGCGAGCGTTTTTCCAAGGAAAAAGCTCCGCTCTCGTTTGTCTCTCTTTTCGAGGAAAGAGGGGCAGCCATCTGCTTCCCGCGATGAATGAAATAAATTAAATTTGTAAAAAAAAAAAAAAATCTACTAAAATTAAATAAGCGTAATTATTTTTTTGACTTTATGGCATTTACTTATGATGTATTTATTCACACATGAACTTAACATGAATCTGATTCATTGTGTTTTCTCTTTCTGTCTTCAGTCTGTGTAGATGCAGTATTACAGAGAAACAGTGTCTCATCCTGACTTCAGCTCTGAAATCAAACCCATCACACCTGAGAGAACTGAAGCTGAGCTGGAATAAACTAGGAGACTCTGGAGTGAAAAACCTCAGTGATCTACTGATGAACACACAATGCAAGCTGGAGAAACTAGAGTTAGTATCATTATACTCTACAGCAGTTACAGTGAGATTAGTTTACTGTTCAGTTTATTTTAAGTGTTTTGTGTGTATTTGTGACTCTACACTCAAAAATTAGTTTAGCCTCTTGTTCATTTTAATTAAAATGAGGTAAAGTAACATGTTTTTGAGCGTTCTGTAACAATGTCATTGTGTTCACTCTTCCTAATATATATAAAATTGAAATATATTACATTTATTTGTGTTGAAACTACATTAATATTTGTTGTTGATGTAACTAACTGAGCAGTGGATTTGTAGTTCCCAGCATGATTTACAAGGAACTGCGTGATTGTTTTTCTGTAAAGGGAAATACATGTTAGTGTTTAATGTTCAGTTCCCTTTCATGGGAACTTCGAACTGCGTCCTCTAGGGGTCGCTATGGGGAACGCCTCGTCGTGACCCGTGTCTGAAGCATACATTGAAAAAACACCAACAACACGTTGGCCGGCGACAGCCATGACGTCACTACCGGTGCGACTATAGTATAAATAGGCGCCGGGAGAACACATCATCCTCTTCTTCGTCTTTACTGACTGTTTTGTTTGAAGCGTGCTTTTCTGTGGTAAGAGTAAGATCTCTATTCATATCATTATGGCGAGCACTAGTAAAGCGTTTAAAGGATGTGTGCATCCGTGTTGACGTTGTTTAACATCTGATGACACACACGATCTATTCGTTATTTGTTTGGGCAAAGAACACGCATGCGATGCCTCCGAGGGGACAATCGGCATGCACTGCGAGCGTTTTTCCAAGGAAAAAGCTCCGCTCTCGTTTGTCTCTCTTTTCGAGGAAAGAGGGGCAGCCATCTGCTTCCCGCGGTTCAGGACCCGCTGCTGCTGAGGCACGGAGGAGAATGAGCTCGTGGGGATCGCAGGTGGATCTGGCCGATGAGTTTGAAGAGGGGTTTTCCCTTTTGCGATCGTCGGCTGTGCACGAGAGTGAGCCGCTGGAGGATGATGTTATTTCATTAACATTATCTGATTCAGGGACCAGTGCTTTGCTGGGTTCAGCCCAGCAAAAGGAAATGTCTGAGGAGGGCAAAGAAGCTGAGGCTGAGACTTCCCAATCCTCCTGCCCTGCGTATGATGAGCTTTTGGAAATTATGGATCGCGCCATGGCGAGGCTTTACTTGCCGTGAAGGGGCTGAAGAAAGTGACGTCGCGAAGTATCTCGATGAACGTTATTTTTCTGGCCATAACCCTCCAGCTCTAGTGAGCCTTCCTTTCTTCCTGTTTTCCATATAGAGATTGAGAAGGAATGGAAGAGGCCGTTTTTTCTTCATGCATCCATATGCGCGAAAGCGGTTATGAGAAGATGCCCCTATAGAGAGACACTGGCCAGCTATCTCTCTATGGGTGAGACGTCCTCTCCTAAGAATCCCCTCCTTGACATCTCGCTCGGATGCCAGGGCATACGCAGCAGCAGCAGGTCGGGCTGCCGCTTCATTGCACACAATGGTGATGCTCCAAGCATATCAGGCTGACCTGCTGAAAGACCGGGATAATGGTGAGGAGGTAGCTGAGTGCGCCACACCACGGATCTCGCTCTCCGTGCTACTAGGCAGGCCGCCTCTGCTATTTGCAGGTCCATGGCGGCTATGGTAGTAACGGAGGGACATCTGTGGGTGAACATAGCAGATATCGGGAAAAAAAGATAGGGGCTTTCTTCTTGATGCGCAGGTTTCGCCTTCTGTATCTTTCGTACCTCCGTTGAGACGGTGGTCGAGAAGTTCAGGGAGGCAAAGGTGCGCTCAGCGGCCTTCATGAAAGTCCAGGTCTGAGCCCAAACAACCCAGAGGTCCTGGCCCATCTCGTGCTCCTCCCCCGTCCGTGGGTAGGGGTAGGAAGAATCGCGGGTCAAAGGAAGGTAAGTGAAAGGCCTAAGGGATGTGATCCAGACAGGGCGTTAGCGCATTTGTCCGGATCAGAGTGATACCTCAGTATCTACTCATTTCCTTCGGGGGTCTTACATCTGCCCTTATCTTCACCTTCCTAATTCCCCTGTAACCACCATCTCTCCACCTGACCGAGGTTAGGTGGGAAATTTCCTGCATTATAGTCTCCTATGCTGGACCTATTAGGTTTGGTTGGTTCTATGGCTTCATAGTGACCACCTTACTGATGGTCCGGTCTAGAGGCTTCTCCGGACAGGGCTCCGACGCAGGAACCATGGTGGGTGAGTACGATCCATGTCTAAATATATGTATATATTATATATATGTGTGTATTTAATGAGCTGGTGGTTGTGTGTATAACCCTTCTGCTAGCTTTCTTTGCAGTGTTTCCCGGGACCTGTGTGTTTCTGTCCTTTTCTAGGGTAGGTCCTCGATGAGCACCCCCTCTGCTGTGTTCAGAAACCGGGTGCTCGACTTGCAGTGTTTATTTCACTCGTCGATATATGTCCAGACGGTACGATAAGCCGGGTTTCGGCTTCATACTTCCTGGATTGTGCGGCCATAACACAGGCTTCTGTGGGAGCCTTCATGATCATCAGGCCCCTGGCACGACACTGCAAAAATTTCCTGGACGTCCGGGCTGGGCTTATTCTTTCATGCTACCCTGACTGGTCTACCGTATCTAGGTCGCCCTGAGGGGCTTTCCGATCACCAGAATATCCCCTCTTGCTGAGGCATCGAGCGACGTTCTAAAATCCACATAGCTGGTAAGTGTGCACGTTATGCTTTGCCCAATTTCTGAAATCCGGTATGGTAAGAGTTACGCGTTATTGACCTCGTTCCCTTTCTCTGAGTTGGTTTAGACCCCGGTACCTTGGGCTCCACTCATCTAGTGTGTCTCTGTCGACACACTCTGAAAGCATCGCTCCCCTCACCATTGAGGGTTATTGTGAGCATGGTGCTTTCTTTCGAGCTTTAATCCTCTCTAAGGAGTTGGATTCCTCGCTCCATGGGCTGTCCTCGTGGTAGTGTTGAGCAGTGCTCCCCTTTTACCAAAGGGTTACCTGGAATGAGCATGCTATTCCTCTGAATTCGGAGTTCCCCTCTCACATGAGAAGTTGAGTTCTCTGTTTCTCCAGAGCACCTGAAACCAGCAGCATCAGGCAAATTAGGCCCTTCCTCTGCCTCCCTGATGCGCTGAGTGTTTAGCTAGCTTGCAATATGCTTAACCTTCTGATTTTACAATCACACTGTAGGTCGAGCCCCCTCTCGTTGAGAGCTGGGTTTGTGCTCCCTCAGCTAAGGTAAATTACTGCTAGCCGTTCCAGCATTGGAACATGCTGTAGGTAGAGCTCCCTTCTCAACTGAGAACTGGGTGTGTTGCTCCCACAGCTAAGTAAATTATTGCTAGCTGTTCCAGCTTTGGAACATGCTGCAGGTCGAGCCCCCTTCTCGATTGAGAACTGGGTGTGTTGCTCCCTCAGCTAAATAACTGCTAGCTGTTCCACCTTTGGAACATGCTGTAGGTCGAGCTCCCTCTCGATTGAGAGCTGGATGTTTGCTCCTTCAGCTACAGATTTACTGCTAGCCACTCCAGCATTATAAGCCTCAGATTGAGTTGATGACTTCTCAAACATAGCGTTTTGGGATGCACCATTTCCATCTATGGGCTGCTCTTTCAGAGTGCCACGAGAACCCCTTAGAATGGTATTTTTAAAATCCATGTTATGGTAAGTGTGCACGTAAAGTCTTTGTACACTTTCTAATATCCACACTGTGGTAAGTTCACACGCTAGTACTCTGCATTATTTTCTAGAATCCTGTACGGTAAGAGCTACGCGCAACAGCTTCGTGCTCTTTCTGAGTGGTTTAAAACCACGGTTCTGCCTTGGGCACCACTCCACCTATGTATCCTCTGGATACCTACTTTAACAGGGTGTTGCTACTAGGGGTCTGTTGAGACAGTTCCTTTAGCATATGCAGAGTGCGGTAGCCCCTGTGTGACAGGCCAAGACTAGTATGATTCTAGGCTCTTGGTCGTATTCCCTTAAAGGAATCTATTCCTGATTCCAAGCATTGAGCTCTACCCCGGGCCCAGGAGTCTGGCCCTAACAGGTACGTTTTTTGGGGTATGTAGCCTAGGCATTTGGCCATAGGGAATAATGTCACTGACAGCCGTCTAAC